CTGAGGGTGAGATCCAGACTCTTTGACAATCTTGAGGGGGGACTCACCAGATTTAAAAGAGAACCTATATCCCTGACCCTAGCCCTCATCTTAGGAGCAGGCCTTGCAGGAGCAAGTACAGGCATAACTGCTCCAGCCTTGGAGAGCAAAACCTATCATGCTCCGAAGGCAGATATAGATGAAGACATTCAGAGACTGGAAAAGTCTGAGTCCTGTTATTACTGGAGAGGACTCTATTTACTTTTTCTTCAACAAGGGGGACTAAACAAGGCCCTTCGAGAAGAATGCTGCTTTTATGTTAATCACTCAGGAGTTATAAGAGAATCCTCAGCCAAGGTCAGAGAAAGTTTAGAAAGACACTGCAAAGAAAGACAACAGTCTCAAGGATAGTTTGAATCATGGTTTAATAATTCCCCCTGGCTAATAACCCTGATCTCTACTTTATTGGGAACCTTACTTATCTTTATGCTGTTGCTTACCTTTGCCCCATGCATTTCAACAAACTTCTTCAGTACATGAAGCAAAGGCTGGTGACTATCCAGCTGATGGTTATGCACTCCTAGTATCAAATTCTAAATGAGCCTTAGGGTTTCAGGATTTGATCTGTAGTTACTCCAAGAAGGGACATTGTGAGAACAAAAGAAACACCATTTTGCTTTCCAGGCTCCATCTTGTAACTTACTCAGGGTGAACTGGTTTCCTCCAACCCAATTCCAGGAACAACCACAGACTGTATCTTGGTAAGAACAGAAGTTCATCCACCTGGGGGCAGCCAATCAGGTCCTGAGGCTAAGCTCACACCTAGTTCCAGATGTTCCTTTTAGATACCTAGCTCCCGCCTGTGGTTTGGCCCAAACTGTCCTTTCTTGCCCAGTGATTTTAAAAATCAACTTGCTTGCAATACTCTTACCCAATCATGTAAGGCCAAGGCCTGGAATTCCCTGCTTGTGGTTTTTCCCTTTAAAAACCCTGACTTCCCTAGGCTTGGGACCACTCTCCTAAACCTGCTGTGTCAGGGACAGTTTGCGACCCAATCTCGAGCTTGCAATAAAGGCCCTTGTGTGTTTGCATCGGACTCGTGTTCCTGCTGGTCTTCTGGGGGTCTTGCCATCTGGGTATATGAGAAAAGCACATAACCTGAGAAGAATATAACCCAGGCAAGTAGTATCGACTTTGCAAATGGTATGTTTATTTGACAGGAACTGTTCATTCCAATGACTTTCACAAGTCATTTCTCTAGTGCTGTCTTGAAAGCCTGGGGTTCATATTGCCTGTGAGATACTGTAAATAAGTTTTGGCATTGAACTGAATTCCTGCAATCACACTCGTTCCCAAGTCTTAATATGTTAATGAAAATGAGGATGGACAATTACAATAATGCCTGGTACAGTATTTGTTGGACCTGTCTTCTACAAAGGCTAGGCCTTAGAATACAATTGCCAGGAAAACCAGATTTTCAGGAGGCAGCCATTTGTACACACACACACACACACACACACACACGAAACGTTCTCCTTGTTTGGAAAGGTTCTCAAGTATGGACAGGGTGCCTGGGCCTAGTTAGAACAGCAAAGAAAACTTCTCCAGAAAGTGAGATTTGAGCATACCTTTGAAAGATGGGTGAGAATGGATTAGTAAAGGGCTGAGCGCTTGAAGACAGCTTTCAGAAAACTAAAAAGTAATGTGGAAAGACAGGGGAGGCTATGTAGGGTAAGGTGGCCTTAAGAGATAGATTTTAGACTAGTTAAGGAGTTGGCCTTTTCCTCCAAGAGCCAAGGTCTTTTTTTTAGGCAGGGAATTCCTACAAGCATACATGTGTAACAGACTTTACTATCTGCTGTCTATGTAGGGATCAGACTAGAAAGGACAACTGAAAGTGTGGGTGGCATGAAGTTATAAACATAACGATGGAAGGAGATACAAACCTCAGACAACTGCAGGCCTAGTAGTGGACTGTCAGCCCTTCATACCTCTGTCTTTTCCTGAGACTACCATTGCAGCTTACTAGAATAATCTATGTCTGTAATGGTTTTTATCTCCAGTAATTATTCTTTCTTCATTTTAAGAAAACAGGCTCTAAATGAAGTCCCAAGGATACCATAGCAGAATGTCCTCTGACTTTAATTGCAAAAGGCCGTAGATGTGGCTCAATCATGGTGCAGAAAGAAGAAAAAATGCTAGCATGGGTTCTGGGTCACTTGTTTGCATTTTCTGTGAAATACCTTCTGATACTTCATAATTTTTCTGCAATATACTTTACTTGTGTAATCAAACCTATGAATGTATGTATTTTCAGAGATATTCATGTAAAACGGTTCAAATGAGGAACTATTGATGCTTTTCATTTTGAGTGAAAATTGGTGTAAAAGATATCTTCAGGTAGATGGCAGTTAATTTTTTAAAGATAAGATGAGAACAAAGATTATTCTTGTTCAGTGACCATTGCTTAAAGCAAACAAACCAAAAACAGGTAGGTTACATGTTTTATTAATCAAGCGCTCTACTCCTAAGCAGCTTCATCTTCCAGCAAGTTCAGTCATATCTTTCATTCTTGAATGAAGCTGTTTCCCTTGTCTGTTTTATTTATGTACCTTTGATTATTTGAGCTAGGGTTTTGTCCAGTGTGTACTGCTGGCTGGCTTAGAACTAGTTGTGCAATTTGGTCTAGCCTCCATCTTGCAACAGCCCTCTTGTTTCTGCCTCTGGAGCCCTGGGATCAGAGAAATGGCCTACCACATTCTATTTTGCTCACACTTTTTTTTTCTTTCTGTATGTTCCAAATGAGTATAAAACCGTCAAACTGTGATACATAGTGCAGGTCCCACAGTCCAAATTTTAGAGATAGTTTTGGCACATAGTGATCCCCAGAGGGGTGGGCTTAGAATGCCTGTGATGCACTGACTCAATAACCTGTGTCTGCTGCCCCAGCTGACCATCTGTTGTCTGTTATCCTTCCACACCCAAACACAGACACATCTGTGCCCCTCCACTGCACAGTTTTTAAAAAAGAACATGAGGATCACAGACAGGAAATGGGAAATGGAGAATCAGAGAAACAGTCCTCAGAGAAGACCGGTGTGGTCTGCAAGCCTCATGAATTGTACTTCCCTTTGGGTCTTTCTCCATCATCACCGTCACACCACAGAATGAGGAAAAAGGAGAAAGTCCAGACATTATCTGTAGACACACTGTCTGTTGTGGTTTCATTTAGTGGTTTTCTAAATGAAACCACTGCAGATGCCACCTTTGTTGATAATGTCCGCCCGTCCTGTGACCCACTCTTAACTGCAGGTGAGAAAAAAAGCCTACCTGAAGTTGTGAGGAGAAGGCGTGTCTGATAGAAAGGGGAGCTTACTTGGCACAGATGGAGTCTTTTCACAGAAGTGTGTCTCCTTAACTTCCATTAATGGTGTACAGGGCCTTTACCCCTTTTGAGACTCAGGAGATCCCCGTGTTCATTATCATGTCTGTTTCCTAGAGACCCAGCCACAGGCTTGTGTCATTCAATACTTGTATGATGTTTATTAAGCAAATCACAGTCTGTGATTATGATTCAAAGTAAGCAAATGAGAAGATATATTAATATCTAAAAGTCAAAATGACCCCTATGGGCGTGTTTAGTCTCTAATGTACTGCGTGGTCACTGGAGCCTGGAAAGGCCTGTTTTGCCCTGCTGGGCAGCTGCGTTTGGTTTCTTGCATTTGGTTATGCTTCACTGAGGACTTGATCCTTTGTAAGGCTTTTGCTTCTTTGAATGCACTCAGTAGCTAAGTTGTACCTTTACTATGTTCCTGTGTTAGTTATAGAATATATTCATTATTTTAAAGAAAAAGTTCATCATGCTGAATCTTCCATCCCAAGGCAAGATATACTCTGCTTTGTAGACTTACCTCTCTTGGAGATTTTGTATAAAATTGGACTCTTAAGGGATCAGTTGTTTTGTGTGTGTGTGTGTGTGTTTGTGTGTGTGTGTGTGTGTGTGACTGGTTTTTTCATTAGCATGTTTCCAAAGTTTATTCCTGATATGAGGATCAGTAGTTATTTTTGTTCCAAAGCAAAAGTTCACCAAATGCATGGGTCACTTCTATCCATTAGTCAGTTGCTTGTCTTCGGACTGTTTTCACTTTTTGCCATTATGAGTTAATGCTGCTATGCGTGGGCATGGTTTAATGTTTTCTATATGTATCTAGAAGGGAAATTTCCAGACTACATGGTAAGTGCTGAAATGTATGAGAACTGTTCTGTAAGCCCACCAGATCATTTTGTATCTGTAATAGCAGCTTAGGAAGGATCTGATTTTCCACACAGTCCCCAACACACTGTTGCCTGTGTCTTGTTATTATAGCCGTCTTGGTGGGTATGAGTTGGTAAACTGTTGTGGTTTTGACTTGTATTTCCAGAGCAGCTAATGATGCTGAGCTTCTTTTCAGGGACTCATTGTTCATCTCTGCCATGCCTTTACAGATACGACTTTGTCCTTTTTAGCTGGGTTATTTGTATTTCATTCTCATATTTTGTTTTACACTAATTTTTGTGTGTATGTGTTCGTGAGTGTATGTATGCGTGTGGAGGTCAGAGATCCTCATTACTCAATCTTACTTTTTAAAGCAGGGTCTCTCATTCTCCCTGAACCTCACTGATTTGGCCAGACTGTTGGCCAGCAAACCCTGGGGATACTCTTGCCTCCTCTTACACAGAGCTGCCATTATGATACACCAAGCCTTTTAATTTATTTATTTTTAATGTGGGTGCTGGAGATCCATCTCAGGTCTTCACATTTGTCTGGCACACACTTAACCAACTAAGCCATATTCCCCATCGCCTAAGCTAATTTTTAATATAAAATAGATGGTTAGTGATCATAACTCAGGATGTATGGTCATAAAATCAACGCATATTGAGTGACGGTATATTAATCATACTCAATATAAAGTCTGTTGCCATTCATCATGCCTGCTGGATAGCTAGCCAGTCAGCCTTTCTTCTCTATCTTTTCTTAGGCTCTCTTTTGTCAACTCTCAAGCTTTTCTAGAATGCTATGAACATTTGCCAGCGTTGTTTTTCAAAAAAGAGAAAGGGCTGTGGATTCTTCCTAGGAACAGAGACATCCACGGTGGCTTTCAATGCCTAACGTTGCTGAAACTGGAAGATCCACAGACTCTGGGCATGGTGACCACACATCTGGGAACAAGTCCCCGGAAGAGGACCTGCAAGGGGCTGTAAAATCTTTCTGCACAAGTGTCATGGGAGCGCCTGTGGGCCCCAGAGGAGATGGGCATTACCCTTCAAGCTGTCCAGTGACTCATACTCGGGAAAAAATTTATGCCATCTGTTCAGACTATGCCTTCCTCAACCAGGCAACCTCGATCTACAAAACTCCCAGCCCAGCCCTATCTTCTTGCCTCCCCGGTAATACCTCTCATTCTGCTGGAAATAGCTCAAGACATATTGGTATCCCAGCCAGTACATCAGAAATAACCTATAAAGAAGAAAATAGCTTGGAAAACTTATCCACCAGCTTGGGCAAGCTACCTCTCGCATGGGAAATTGATAAATCTGAATTTGATGGGGTGACTACAAATCTAAAACATAGATCAGGTAAGAAAGAGCTATGAAGTTTACAAGTGAAAACAAACAGAAAACAAATGCCACCTATTGCTAAATCTTACAATGAAATGTTTTCTGTTGCTGAACAAGGAACATCACTATCATCTTATCTGTCAATGTAGGTTTTTTTTTTTGTTTGTTTTGTTTTATTTTATTTTATTTTATTTTTTTAATCCTGGGTATAGTTAGTCCAGGACTCTGTTGCCCATGGAAACTTTTGACCTTATGTGTGCATTTGGGGAGCTTTGAAATTCGAAAAGAATGGAATGTAAGTATTAAAGATAAGTATACAGTAGCTTGGAAAAGGCTAGATTAAGTACTCAGTAGCTTGGAAAAGGCACAGGTAGATTAATACTGTTATTTTGTGGTTTTGCAGGGATATGTCATATTTTCTAATGTGGGATATATTATGACATTTTTGTCTTGAAAAAACTTGAATGCAAAAATAACATGTTTTGATTAAAGACTTGCTATTTTTTTGTAGAAAAAATATAGTTATGTAGAAAATTAGTTGAGGAAAGATCTTTTTTCTAAACCATATTTTAAAGTCCATTTTATTTCTCACATGTGTGTATGTATGTTAGGACCTGTTCACATTTATTTCCATGTGGTATTTGCTGCCTGTTCCAAATTTTAAAAGAAAATTCTGTTTGACAGCTCCTTCTCTCCTTTTCAATGATAGCTCTAAAACTTCCAGATGGCAAGGAAGTTTATTCTTCAGTCAGACATTGAATCGATGTATTTTTGTGAAGCCAAACTTAAGAAATACTTACCTTAAATTAGTTGATGATATGAACAGGATGATAGAAGGTAAATGATAGGAGAGATAGATGATAAAGTATTCAAATTGCTTTAAATTTTAGATAACAGTGAACCCATAAATACAAAATTCTTTGTCATACCAAAATTTTAGCAGTATTACATAAGGTTTAAATATATAATCAAACATTCTGAATATAAGATTTAGTATATATTTATATACATATGTATTATGTATACTGTTATACAGTTATATATTCTATATAATACAGACAGAAATAGAAATAAGAATGGTTATACATAGATTTGGAAATATATGTTCATTACTATTACAGACACATGAAAGGAAAGTCTAAATCACTGGGAATAAAAAGCAAACAGCATCTTCTAGGATCTACTTAAAAAAAAATGACAACAGCCAAATTTGAGTACCCAGAAAAGCCTCTATCCACTCAGGGTGCAGTGAGCACCCAGAAAGGCCTCTATCCACTCAGGGTGCATGTATAATGTTCGCCCTTGCACTGGAGTTCTCTTCAGATACTAATGCTTTTTCACTTTCCTTGAGTTAACAGTAATGCAGGGATTATAGGAAGTAGGTGCCACTATTCTAATCATATAGCTGAAGATGGTGAGGCTTAGAGGGGATGAATCTCCTGCCCAAACTTGCCCAGCCAGATAAGACTAGGATTTTTATTTTCTGTTCACTCTGATGGTTTTATAAAAAACTCCACACTTCTGTTTGTGCATTTTGAAATTAGTTGTCCCAGAGATTGTTGTGTAAATGCATAATCCTCAGGGGACTGGCATGCTTTGTTTGTGCCATTATTTATGTGCAATGTATTTTATTTATCTATCTATCTATCTATCTATCTATCTATCTATCTATCTATCTATCTATTTATTTATTTTAGTATTTTGCTTTAGGGTTGAGAATTAGTGCTATGCAGGTCTCGTAAAACAAGCTGAGAAGTGCTTTCTCCTGTTTCCTGTGGGTTTGTAGTAGGATATAAAAATTTCTAAATAGAATTATGGTATTGTTTCACTGATAATTTTGTTGTGTCGTTTGGGGGCCTGAAGGTGTGCTTTTCCTTAGTATCTATCTATAGAGTCATTAGTGATGATTCATTCTTCACTCCTGTCCTTTTTCCCCAACCTGGCCCCTGAGTGACTCAGTAATCCTTCAGGCTGCTGTTCACTGGACTGAAGAATGAGTATTAATTACATTGCTGTGTGTTGAAACTGACCAAAATTCAATGTTGTTTGCGTTCTGGCCTTTTCTTAAAACGTGCTGCCCATGCGGAAGTCTTCCAGAGTTCCAGAGTGGCCCCCCGTCATTGCAGTTGTTGCTTATGTAGAAGACAGCTTCAGGCACTCTCTTCTCCCCACCGTTGAGATTTTAAAAGTGCGCTGTTACTAGAAACACTCACACGTGTAATCTTTATAGTTCCTTGAAGAATTGACCCCCCATTAGCTAGGCATGATGGCGCTCGTCTGTAATCCCAGCACTTTGGAGGGTGATGTGGAAGGATCATGAGTTTGAAGATAGCCTGGGATACATACTGAGTTCCAGGCTAACCCAGGCCACACAGTGAAACCTTATGTTGGAAAAAAAAATGTTCCTTTTACTAATAGGGCATATGTTTCAGCACCTTCTTGTTACAAAAACTGCTTTAATACTGACATGGTTGTCCCAGCTTTCTTTTGCCATTTGTACGTGCTTTCCCATTCTTTACTTTTAGATCTAGAAATTACATTGCTTTACAACTTCTGTTTCTCACTCGCAGAGATGTGATATCTTCATTTATTACTAGAGCACTTTATATTATCTAGCACAGTTATAATATCTACTTCAAAGTCTTTGCAGATTTCAAAATCCGGGTTAGGTCAGAGTTGGCCTTATCTTTTCCTTGAGGGTGGCTCATTTCATAGTTTTTTTTTTTTTTTCACATGCTATATTGTTTTTTAATATGTCCTGGATGTTGGGACTGTTGTATCAACTCTGTTATATCACCCCAACAAGCAGGCAGGGAGGCAAGCTAGCTACCTCTCCCCCCTTCCTTCTTCTCTCCCTACCTTTCTCTCTTCGTATGACTCTGTGTGTGTGTGTGTGTGTGTGTGTGTGTGTGTGTGTGTGTGTGTGTCTTTCTCTCTGTGCCCCTCCACATGATTGAACAGAAACTGCAAGCTCTCTTTTAAAGACAGTTCTGCTCTTGGGTTGGGCCCATTAGCCCTGGCTGTGTCCCTTGGGGTCTACTATGAACCAGTGTAGTCCAGGTCTTAGCACGAGATTTGAGCCTCATTTTCTTTGAAAACTTTTCTGTTTTCAGGTTCCTTCTGACCTCATTTTGGTGGTGCTTGGTGCCCAGAACTCTGACTCATGTTTCCTTCCTTTTCTCTGCCCTCCGTGCCCCCCCTTTTTTTTGGAGACAGTGCTCTGGCTATGTACTCCAGCCTTGCCTATAATTCTTTTTATTTAAATTTATTTATTTTATTCGTACTTGATGTGTACGTGTGTGCCTGATACTGTTAGAGGCCAGAAGAACATGATGGATTCCCTGGAACTGGCATTAAAGATGGTTATTAGTCACCATGTGGGAGCTGGGAAATTAATCCAGGTCCAGTGCAAGAGCAGCCGGTGCTCTTAACTGCTGAACCATCTCTCCAGCCCCTTGGCCTATATACTTAATCTCCCCGCTTCAAGATTTTGAGTACTGGGATTACAGGTGTGTGCCACTGCGCACAGCTCTGAGTTTTTGGTTTTCTTTTCTTATACTTTTCTCTGAATACCAGAGTATTTATAGTGAGTGTGTGTGTGTGTGTATGTATGTGGTAGGGTTGGGAGAAAGAAGGATAAGGTGATGGCGCAGAGCAATGGACAAAGGTCACTGTGATTGAATGACCAGGAGACGGAAGTGAGAGGGGCTTCTTTTGTATGCTGTGATCTAGCTTCTGCTTTGATGATGCTTTCTTCCTGCAAGTTCAGTGAAATGTCAGCTGTCGGCCCAGATCTGCATGTGGCATTGTGGAGCTCTCTGCTTACGCGCAGTGTGTGTGCTCGCTTAACCCCGGGAGAATCACAGCAACATACTCACCAAAAGCCGCACAGGGAAGGAGTCACAGAGCACAGGGAGGAAAGAGTACCAGAGCGGTCTCAGCCCAGTGAAGCCACAGTTTTTGATGTTTCATTAGCCTCACAACTTTCAGTTGCTAAGAAAGTACCAAGGGAATTAATTCAAGAGGCAGAAGAGGGAGTCCCAGGGAAAGTCAGTTTTCTGTCTTCTCTTGAGCTTTGTTTTAACCAGTGAGGGAATCTAGCCCAGTGGGGTCTAGTTCACATTTGCAAGTGTTTGTTAAGCTCTGAACCATTTTGTGTTCTCTGTGTCTAGAGAGACATGGCAAGAATAATTAAACAGGAGGGGGTATTGGGTCTTGATTGTATAGTGTTCACCGTTAGGATGTTTTACAGGTGTTCCTTGAGAGGCAGTAATTCCTGAGTCCTGGCAGGTTAGAGAAGGCACATGGTTATTGTTTATGGTACTGAACTAGATTTCATGGCAGAATCTGAAAGCAGGAGTCTACATGGTCTGTGTTTGATAACTCAAAAATAAAATATTAGCCTCAAGTAATTTTTACATGAGATTTGATTATTTAATTTAAAGTAGGTGATGCCTGGAAGGTGTTAGTGTAGTTGAAAGGAATGTTAGCATTTTAACAAATCATCCCTGGGTATTATTTTAATATGTATACTGCTGAGTGGGTGAACATTAAAATGGTTCAGAAAGAAATACAATAATCAAAATTAAGCAACATAAACTCTCCCTCCACTTGAGCCTCTTTTTGTCCACCTTCCATATCTCTCCTTCCCCAGTAGGCATTCATTCCTTGTCTTTGGGGAGATTGTGTGTGTGTGTGTGTGTGTGTGTGTCTAGGTAGGGCATACACAGAGGTTATCAAGTTTTGCATTCCAGTTCCTAGTGCAGTATTATAGTATTATAGTTTAATTATAGTTTAATTATGCTTCACCCTACATTTTTTTGAGGTCTCTGGGGCCTAGAGTTATTATTGTGCAGAATGTTGTCATACTGGATCCAGTGTTGTAATAGAATTATGTTAATGTGGGTTTTATTGTTTTATATAAAGGAATCATTTTCAGGAAAATGGTCTAGTTTAATTCTTTCCTGTTGGTAACTTGTAGATGCCGCTAAAGTTTTTGAATTGGTTATTTTAACCAGTTTTAAGAGACTTGCTCTGGATTTGGATAGGATCTTGACAGGAAATAACATTTTGGGTAGCTCAGATTGTTTTTAATTCTCTTCTTGCTTTCTCCCTAGGGAAGAGGACTCTTCTAGAAAGTGTAGACATTACTTCCAGATGTTTGCAAATGCCATTTTCAGAGTGCATGGCAGTTCCTCTCTGATGCTGTTGTAACGACTGGCAAGGTGGATTACTCTGTTTGAGCATTTTCCTCTTTTATTCTGTTGTTCTGTAGGCAATGCAAAGAAACAAATTTCCAAGAAAAAAACTTCAGATAAAAAAGGGCTGCATCAGAGAGAGTGTCCCCACCATTTTCCTCTTGAAGATGTTAAACAGCGCAAAGTGTTAGACCTCAGACGATGGTATGTGACCATGTCAGCTTTTATTTTCCAGTCTTAAAAATACGTAATTTGACATTAATTTTGCTAAGTATATGTTAATAAATCATATTTGTTATGAACACCTTTAGTTCCAAGATTGCGTCTAAATACTTGAGATATATCTCAGATTTTGGAAGTATGCTAGTTGGGCTCGGCCAGCATTTTCTAGACTCACCTGGCCGTCAGTCTGATTTTGTGATCCCTCCTAATGGTAAGCTACATTGAACGGTACTTATGTTTGGTGTAGAAGTTCCCCTGGTTGTTCTCTGTTGAAAAATTCTCCAGGAAGTGACTGATACCATATTTTACCCCAAATCATTTAAGTATGCATTTCTAAAACTGACTTTTTAGCTTAGAGAAATTACTGTCATACCTAATAAAAGTAACAATGTTTCTTTTGTGTGTAAGTTCCAGACCAAAGTAACACTTTCTAGATTGTTCTAAAAATTCATCCTATGTGTGCCTGTTTGTCATGGCCCGTGAGTCTCAGTTTAGAATCTCCAACTTTCTCTTTTTGTCTCTGTCTCTCTCTGGGGGATTTCATGGTTTCCTTTTAAATCATCAGTGACAATTCTGTTCTGGGGTTCCCTGCCCGGGGGTTCATGTGGATGTGGTGGGCGATAAAGGGATCGGCTTTGGTCTGAGCAGAGGAATCTCTGAACCTTCAGACACGAGAGAAAAGGGATTTGCTTGGTCCCTCCAGTATTTCAGAAGTTGCAAATGATCCTGTGCCCACTCAAATGGGCACATAGACAATGTGGGCACTCAAATGGGCATTCACATAGACATTTGAGTAGTTTGTATCAGAATTTATAGATCAATAATTCCCTTCTTGGTTTGAATAAGATGTACTTTCGTAGGTCGCTAGCTCTTCTTGGTAAAATAGATGCTTTTTCACTCTCATGCATTCTTTATGTGTTTAATAAGTAGGAACTATTTTTAAACAAAATGGTGATTTTACATTGCATTGACATTTGCATTATGGTCACATTGAAATCACTCATAAAATGTATATCTTTGTTCTGCATGTTTTGTATTCATTCAAGTAAAGGAAACTTTGATTTCTCAGGTACTGCATAAGCCGACCACAATATAAGACTTCATGTGGTATCTCCTCATTGATTTCTTGTTGGAATTTCCTATACAGCGTAATGGGAGCTGGGAAGTAAGTATGCCAGTTTACCGCTATCAACCAAACTCTACTTTTGAAAGTGGTTTGAAGAAAACCTGGTGTGGTGGTGCACACCTGTAATCCCAGCACTCAGGAGGCAGAGGCAGGCAGATCTCTGAGTCTGAAGTCAGGGTGGTTTACATAGTGAGTTCTAGACCATCCAGAGCTCCATAGAGAGACCCTGTCTCAAGAAGCCAAAAAGCTAAAATATAAAAATAAAAATAAAAAAGAAATTTGAAGTTACCTGTTTTATAATGGAAGACTCAGAGTAGATTTTTTTACAAATGAGAAAAACTGTGTGTATTGTTATAAGCCTTTCAGGTTAAAATATTTGCATGTATTCTTTTTAAATAAAATAAATGAAGTATATTGCTGAAGCTGTTTGCAAGCTAAACCTATATATTATTAACATTGAAGCAGATTGTGTTATGACTGGAACTGTGAAATAAAAGGAAATGTTTCTTTTATAGTCTCCCACCTATTACCCAAGAAGACGCATTACATATTTTGGGCTTCCAACCCCCATTTGAAGACATTAGGTTTGGCCCTTTCACTGGAAATACAACACTCATGAGGTATGAAGCTGCCACTTAAAGGCAACACCTAATTTCTAATTCTGAGAAGTGATAATGCTGTTGTGTTGTGGAGACTTTGGTGCTGGGTCCCAGGCTCCTTTAGATATACCATGTGTGGGCTGTGCTTGGGTTTCTGTACAATTAAAACGGTGGCCCATCTGTGTTATGAAACTATTGCTATGAGCAAATCTTCTTATTTTCAGATGGTTTAGACAAATTAATGACCACTTCCATGTGAAAGGATGCTCTTATGTTCTATATAAGCCCCATGGGAAGAACAAAACAGCTGGAGAAACTGGTAGGTGAAAATGAACACACACACAGACACACACACACACACAAGCTTTGAGGTTGAGTGTTAGCTCTATTGTTTCCTGGGACATCAAGTAAACTTTCAACAGTCTGATGTTTTCATATCTTTTTACCTCAGAAAGAAATCATGATAGTAATATGTAGGGCACTTTCAGTATATAGTCCAGTATTTTTACCCCTCCTTTCATATAGATGTTACTTTCATATAGATGTTAGAATTTTAAGGCATGTTATAAACACTGCTCTTAACACTTTGATTTTATTGTTTAATACCTTGTTATGTATGTGTGTGCATTATAGTAAAACTTTTAGAGAAAAAGCATGGAGTTCATTTTAAAACAAAGTGAGAGCATTTGAGGCTATGTGATGCTGGACAGACATCAAAGGTAACACAAAACAACATGGTAACCAACTGTGACGTGGCAACACTCTGTTGTAAAGCAGTCTCTTTTTTAACAGACATATTAGTGACGTTAGGGCTTATTTGTTATATACTAGCTGAATTATTTGTATTATTTAATGATTTCATCTGTAGACCAGGCAGGCCTGCCTCTGCCTCTCGAGTGAGTGCTGGGATTAAAGGGGTGTGCCACCACCTTCCGGCTTGTTTAATGATTTCAACTTAAATTGTCACAGTAAACTTTGAATTTTATGGAGCGGACAGCTATAAGGTACTGTTAAAGAAGAAACTTTACTGACTCTCCTTGAAACGGGAGATTTTATTCAAGACTGCTGCAATAGTGTATTGTGATAGGAATTAAGATTAGCCTCCACTTCAAAGATGATAAAGATGGATGGAGTGATGGATGATCGATACGAAAGGTTATAGGACATCAAGAAACTGTGGGTAGCCATGTAAATTAACAACATTCAAATAGTATAAAAATATGAAAAATTTAATTAACAAAATGCAATGAAGCACTAACAGGGCTCCATAGAATTGGTTTAGGTTCAGTATTCTGGATTTTAAGATTTTTTTTCATCAGCTATGCTGTTTATTATGTTTTGGGGCCTAATTTTGTTAGCGATTTGAGTGTGAAGATCTTTAGAACAACAGTGCTTGGCTTGCTTTCCAGTGGCTTGGCTCCTGTAGCTCTTCATGACTTATTTGTACCATGGGTGCGTGGATATGAATGTTGTTGCAGAGTTTCCTGATGGACTAGGATATGTTAGGATGTTTGGCACCGAGACCCTCCGATTCCCTCTACTTCTGTCTAAACTTCCTTAAACAGATGCCCAGTTTATTTGTAGGGTAGAATAAACTGTTTTCCTTTACAAGTTTTAAAAATTGCATTTATTTGTGTATTTATTTTCATGTGTGATCACAGAACAACCTGAGGGAGTTGGTTCTCCCCTTTCACCACCTGGGTTCTGGGGATCGAACTCAGGTTTGAGGGCTTGGGAGCAGGTACCTCCTAGGCCATCCTTCTTACCCTCTCTCTTTTTATGCAAAGGGAAGATGGTGGTTTCTTCAGATTTCTTCAAATAAAGTTTAACAACATAGTTTATCAATTTTCTTTCTTTCTTTCTCTTCTTATCATTGCTCTCCCCAACCTCCTCCCTGTTCTGCAACCTGGTCTCATTTCTGAAGTATCCCTGGACAGCTTAGCCCCAGAATCCTATTACTATCTGCTAGCCTCTGTCATGTGGTATTTGGTATGTGATACCACGTATTTCATCGTTTTAAAGTAAATGTCTTGCTTGGTGCCCAAAGAGTCCATTCCAAGTAGCCCTTTAATTCGTCTGTGCTACACATCACCAGCCGTTACACTCAGGTGGGCGGAGCACTGGTATTCTGCTTCTCTCCCTCCTCTTTATGCTTTGTCTTGTAATAGGAAGAGCTGCTTAGAGGGGTTTTCTTCTTCAGTGGTTTCTGGAGTGAAACCATGCCCGAGGGTATTGTTTATTTAATACATTCTCTGAAACGTATCTCTTTTTTTCTCCATTTAGACAGATCCGATTTTTCACAGTGGGCTTTCAGTGTTCTTGAGAACTGCATGTCCTGGACTTATTAACTCTCTGGTGCCACTGTGCCCTCCATAGTGACTGTAAATGGAGCTCCTTAGAAAATTTTTAAAAACTTGGAGAATGTGGTAAAACTAAACAGTTAATATGAAGTGAAGCATATTTTCCAGAGAAACGATTGCTCACACTGAATGCGTGCACTAAATGTTAACAGTGGTTGTTCATTCGGTTAACTTCAAAGTCGTGACTCAGGTTGCAAAGTCAAGATTCACTTCGAAATCACACTTAGGCTCAGGAATTTATTTCTTTTTCTCTCAGTGGGTACTACAGTTTACTGCTTTGTTTAACACAGTACCAGCCTCTGTATAGATCACACATACTGTGCCCTTGACCATAGCTATCGGCTCTCTGTAACCCCAGTTATATCATATCTCAGATATACAGCACATTAATACTGTTTTTCTCACCTCCAGTATTCTTCCAGTTCATATTAAATAATTGTCTTTAACTTGCAGTGTAGTTATGTCCCTTTCCTCGTTGGGAGTTCTCTAGGCTTGAGTACAGAGCAAACTAAATAGTATTGATATCATGTGAAGCCAAAGTAAACTGGATTATCACCACTACCCTCACGTGCCTGCTGTATTTAAAAAGTATCATATGGGTAGGGCCCTGCCAGGATATGCCGCTTGATACCTATCATGGTTCCAGAATCTTTCCTGACTTTCAGTGTATAAAGATTTATTTTCAGTTGATCTTCCAGAGTTCTCTAAGTCTTCTGCAGAAGGACACGTTCATACTAGACCAACTCAAAGAATGTAAGGGCCTGACAGGGTGTTGGGTGAGAGCTGTAGTGCCAAAGGGGCCTGAATCCCATTGGCAGCTCAAGTTGTCTGCTCAGCTCAGCTCAGCGCCTAATTCTTACAGCCTTGTTCGCATCCTGTCTGTCCACTGTACAGCTATGGAAGTGGCTGTTTTGTGACTTAGTTTTTAGGTGTCCTCTGCTATAGGGTGAACCTAGTTTCTCTTAACAACACATTTATCTTCTCATCATACATCATTTCTTTGGGTAACTGCCTTATTGATTAAATATTGCACTGTATTTTAGAAGGTAATCTTTTCTCTGATTTTGTCCTGAAAGTGTGTGGGGTGTGCTCTGAAGGCTTTCTCTGTTGCACTCCATGTTCTGAACTAGTGCCTTGATGTTCCCATGTATGTTCTTCTGTGGATTTGCTTCCTCTTATGCCCTCTCCTCTGTCTAGATTGTGGAAACCCCACCTCTTCACTATGTTCCATCTTGAGTGCTGCCCCTTCTTGATTCCTGTGACTTTAATACCTTTTTGTGGCACTGTAGTTTCACACCTTAACATTAGCTGTTTCATCTTCTATGCTAGAACTTGTTTTTTTTTTTTTTTACATATGATATCTGACAGAGTTACTAGGTACTCAGGAATTAAAATCTCCACTTACTCAAAACTAGCTGCTTTCAAAATACTATCTCTGGATGCATCACCTGGTAACTTGTTAGAAAGGCAAATTCTTGGTTCCCAACCACAGACCTAAAAAAACCAGCCACTCATACTGGGCTCCAGCAAGACTTCATTTAAGTCTTCACAAAGAGATGGTATCCAGACTCTTTATTAAGAGTTTGGTTTTGCATTGACAAGGAGATGCAGTAGTTTTCTAATTGTGCTCAGTTAAGACCTGAGGATTCTGTTTAAGGGCTTTGTCACAAAAGGGAGAGGATGAAACAGAATTCCTTATACACTTTTTTGGCCACAGCAGCTCTGCTTTAAGTTTGCTGATTTCGAAATCATCTGGAGAATGTTATGTACTTTGGAGAAACAAGAAAACATCCTGTTACTAGAAACCATATGGTGGTACACACCTTTAATTTCAACACTTGGTAGACAAAGGCAGGTGGATCCCTATTAATTCAAGGCCAGCCTGGTCTACAGAGTGAGTTTTAGGCTAGCCAAGGCTACCCAGAGAAATCCTGTCTCAAAAAAAAACCAAAACAAAACAAAAAAGAAATTGTATATAAATGCTATATATCATATTTAATAATCCTAGAAACATGATTCCATAGAAGAAAACCCACACCATGGTTTCTGGAAAACTAGGACACGATAAAGGAGTGTTCTCAGCCACACATATATGTGAGTGCCAAGGAGAGCAGACATTGTCATCCATCTCATCTGCTCCTGGGGTCCTGAATAGATTAGAAACATTAGTTACAACGACACTAGCAAAGTTTTGTGTTACATTTTAATGGAAGCACTTTTTTCTCCCTTTTTCTTTTTTCTTTTTTTTTCTTCTTCTTTCTCTTTTTTTTTTTTTTTTTTTTTTTTTTTTTTTTTTTTTTTTTTTTTTTTGTTTTTTTTTTTTTTTTTTTTTTTTTTTTTTTTTTTTTTTTTTTTTTTTCTGGCTGTTCTGGAACTCTCTTTGCAGACCAGGCTGGCCTTGAACTTACAGAAATCTGCCTGTCTTAGCCTCCTGAGTGCTGGGAGTAAAGGCATGTGCCATAACTAAATGCTTTGAGTTCAAGTTTTAGTGTAAAATAATAGTTTCAGTTATCTGAGAAATCTCACTGCAAACTTTAAGCTTAAAAACATTTCAGGAGTTTTTCAAAATCAATGGTGGTTATAGACAATTTTTACAATGTTTAAATGTACAAAGAATAAAGTTACACATTTCATTTTAACTCACCATCTGGAAGCTATGATCATGTTCATTTATGGAAATGAAAGATTGTACTGAAGTTAGTCCTAAAAATTCTTCATTTAAACTGCCAAGGGGGTCAGTTTTGAAAGTGTGAGGGAAATACAACTCAAATATATGGAATGGCTGATCATTATTAGTCTTTTCAAAGTAGAGATTTTAGTAGAGAAAACTCCATATCTACGCTGATCTGTCCAAAAGTAAAAAATTTATGTGGAATGCCTTGATGGAACTTCAGAGTAGAAGCCAGAACGAGCATGAGCAGAGCCCCCACCTGCAACCCATTGTGGAGCAGCCAGTCTGCTCTGTGGAACTGCTGCAGACGCTGACAGCAGATCTTGGTGGTCAGCAGCTATTTGAGTGGCCAGAAAGTCCATCACCATGAATGTATGATGCAGGCTTTCAGCTCTTTTTAGGGTTTCCAATTTTAATGGGCTACTTGTTAATGAATAATTTAATTTCTTCAAGGAATGCAGGTCAATGAAACCTCAGTTAATGGCCTTGAGTGCTGATAAAAACTTGTTTCTTTTGCTAATACTTTGGAAATCACTTGACAACTATTAGAGTGATAGGCAGCAGATGAGGAGAAACAGTTGAGCTCCTGCCTGACTGCAAAGCTGCTGTCTTTGATCTCTGTGGTGTGTGTAGAAAAGCTGATGCTGCTGGGCTTGGTGGCAGCCTGTACTCTCAGCACTCAGGGAGGCAGAGGCAGGTGGATTTCTGTGAGTTTGAGGCCAGAGTGGCCTACAAAGTGAGTCCAGGACAGCCAAAGCTACACAGAGAAACCCTGTCTTGGAGAAAAACAAAACACAAAAACACAGAAAAACCAAAGCAAACAAACAACAACAACAAAAACCATACACAAGGGAAAAAAAGCTGAAGCCTTTCATCTGTGTGACAAACGTAGAAAGACGTTTGTCTTAGTTAAAGTTTCTATTGCTGTGATGAAAACCATGACCAATCTAGGAAGGCATTTGGCCGATGTATCCTCAATCACAGTCCAGTGATGGAATCTGAGGCAGGAATTCAAAAAGGGCAGGGACCTGGAGGCAGGAGCTGATGTCAATGCCATAGAGAAATGCTGCCTGCTGATCTGTTCCCTATGGCCTCATCAAACTGCTTTTTAAATAGAACACAGAACCACCAGCCCAGGGGTGGCACCACCCACAGTTGGCTGATCCCACATCAGTCACTAATTAAGAAAATGCTCTTCAGGCCAAATCTTATGGAGGCATTTTCTAAGTCAAAGCTCTCTAATCTCAGATGACTGTAGCTTGTGTTAGGTTTGACGTGAAATGAGACAGCACAATGAAAACGTGTTATTTTGTGGTAGGTGTGTGCTTGCACACCATTATCGTAGCTTGTTTTTACTTTGTTTATTCCTATGCATTAGTAAGCTTGAAGTAGGATGTACACGCTACAGCTGGACTTTAGAATGTCTATAATTTAAATCCTTTTATGGACTTAGTTTAGATAGAGAGTTTGTAGACAGATGCACTTCACTTGGGCATGCTCGTTCAGGAGCTAGCAGTGACAGATGTCCACAACCAGAAAAGTTAAGACTGTGATTGTGTATACTGGGTTTTACACACTCATTGAATATCTTAGACAACTTGGTGTATTCTTAAAAAGTTCTGGTAAGCAAGGACATGTTTCACTTGTTTTTGCTACTGAGTTTATCTAAAACTAAAAGTAAATTCATTCATATTTTTGCTCACATTGATAGCTTCTTAGCCCCTCACTGAAAATCAGAATGTCACTGTATTATAAATTGCATCTTTGCTGTTTTCCAGTCCTTAACTGGTTCTCTGTGTAAAATCAGACTTTGCTTTGTGGCCCTCAGTTTGTCTGATTTTGCCTTTGTAGCTCCTGGGGCCTTGTCAAAGTTAACCCGAGGATTGAAAGACGAGTCACTGGCTTATATCTACCATTGCCAAAACCATTATTTTTGTCCAATTGGCTTTGAAGCAACCCCTGTTAAAGCTAATAAGGCATTCAGGTAAGCAGCTCTGTACTGGATAAGGGTACTTCACCAGAAAAATGAGTTGTACAAAATGTTTTTGGGAACTAAACAGATTCTATTTTTTTAGAGATTGGGAAGTCTGGTGATGTGTTTTGTTCACACCAGGTGTTCATATGTATTGTAGGACTGAATGCACTTAAAAGCTGTTGCTCAGTCATTGGAAGAGGAAGCCATCTGAAGCATCACTTTTGTAACTATTATACACAGAATGCAGGGGCCTTCACATGCTAGCCCCAGTGTCCTCTTTATTGTCCTACATGCCCGTGTGTCAAGACTGCTATCACCGAGCCCTTTAAAAGCCCCTTCTCTACTCATAATGAAGAAGGTATTTGTCAGGGTTTTTCTCCAAGAAGTTCAGGACCAGTTTTATCTCATGGTTTTATTTGCCTCTTCCTTTTGGTTTTTATTTCTTGAAAACATATTTTCACACATATATGAACATCTGTCTCTTTGAAGGAGATGTGTTCAAAACAAGGGAACTGAGTTCGAATGTTTTCTTTTTCTTTACCACATTTCTCCCAAAGCAGAGGTTATTGTTAAGAACAGGTGAAAATGAAAGCCATGCATGGCTATCTGACCCCACCGATTTTCTGGTTGATTCAGACTTGGCTTGGTGGGGTTGGTGACTGAGGAGGGTGAAAAGATTGGTGGCCGTTGGAAGTGCTCTCGACAGTGAGGGTCCAGTGTCTTCCTGGAGGGCAGGGCTTGGCCTTTAGGACAGGAGGGTTTTTATTTCCTGGAGGCCGTGTGTCCCTGCAGTCCCACTCAAAGGCCCTTGGTGCCTCAGGGAACCTGAATCAGGTGCAGAAACTGGAGGAGCCAGGAGGCCGAAACTGCTTGTGCGTGAGGAGCAAGAATAAAACTGCTCTTTCTCTCCAACTCCTGACATGCTCTGATCACTTCCTGAAGTGCGGGGCACTGCTGCAGTTCTTTTGTGACTCCAGCCTGTGCTTTGACCTTCCTTCAGGTACCTACAAAGTGTGAAACACACTTTGACTTCCACTGCTCTGTTCCTTTGATAGTTGGACTTCACCAGTGAGTGCCTTGTGTTTATGAACCACCTGAATCATTCTTAAAATTATGCAAATCTCTAGGCTCCTTTCCACACTTGAATTAGAATTGAATTAGAATTTCCAGGGATGGGACTGGAACACTGTATGTTTAAAAATGTCATCTTCCCCTCTGATCTGAGGGGGTCATATATTAAAACATTTGTAATCTTAGATTTTGAATATGGAAGTAACTAGGGCTTAAACCTAATTTGGGGATTTCTTGAATGGCCCAAATAATTGCTGATGTTTATTCTAGATCAACAAAGCCGTCTCTGAGTTTTGGTTGGAACGGCATAGTGCGGGGAGTGAATGCCACTTACCAAGCGGACTGTGAATATATTTTCTGTTTAGCAGGGGCCCTCTCTCACCACAAGAAGTAGAATATTGGATTTTAATTGGAGAGTCAAGTAGAAAACATCCTGCCATTCATTGTAAAAGGTATTTTTTAGTAGCTTTTATCTTTTTTTCTTTAATTGGGGTAATATTTCCTTCACTGAGGGCACAGATCAAAATTGTGCAATTAGATGCATGTAGATAAATGAGCACACTGGTACGGTCACGACCCAGTCACAGTGTGGCCACAGAAAGTTCTGCTTGATCTGTTTCTTTCCAGCCCACAGCCGGTGTGCTTCCCATTGCCACAGACCTGAGTTTCCTCTTCTGGAATTCTATGAAAATGAATTTTCTTCTTTTGGTCCACTTTTCCATTTCAGTAATATATTAAGTTTTTTTTCTAAAAAATTTTTTGAATTGCTTCATTTTTGCTAAAAATCCCGATATTTGATTAAAATAAAATCTTGCTTCACAGTGTTGGCACACGACTTTAATCCCAGCATTTGGGAGGCAGGGGGATCTCTATGAGTTTGAGTCCAGCCTGGACTACAGAGCGAGTTACAGGACAGCCAAGGCTACACAGAAAAAAGCTAATAAAATAAAATCTTTAGGACTAGTGAGGTAGCTCAGCAGGTGCAGGTGCTTGCATGCAGGCCTGATGCTCTGAGTAGCTCTTAAAGGCTAGTCAATGGAACAGTGCTGACACAGGAAAATAATCACCATTTCCTGCTGTCATATATTGTGGCAACTTGCTCTTGGAAAAAGCTTTATTACAGTGTACTTTGGACCTAAAGAAAACTGTCCTTTTTCTTATTACAGATGGGCAGATATTGTCACTGATCTGAACACACAAAATCCAGAATTCTTAGACATCAGACATCTAGAGAGGGGGCTGCAGTTCCGGAAAACAAAGAAGGTAAGAACATTACCATATTGGAAGCCATTTCCCAACGACCAAAATGCAGTATTTTATTAATACTCTTGATGTGGTAAATAACAAAACCAAGTTCAAACTATCATAGTCAGCAAAGTAAGATTTATTTTACGAATGCAGGCTAACTTTAAACCCCTAGCCAAGGAGGACAGTCGCAAGGAAATGACACCCAGTACTGCGCTAACAGTAGCCACCAAGTGGCTCTGAATGCTAATCACTCTTAGGTAGGCTGTGCTGTGCTCACTGCTTTATCCAAAAAGTAATTTCTTGCAGACTAACTTTCAATTTGTGACTTATTTTTAGGTCTAGATTGAGACTTACCTGCCTTGGTTGAGTTCCTTTGGCCCAATTTTGGTAAATTATGGTCACAAGGCAGAGCCATGTGTTGAAGCATGACTGCAGAAAGAAGCTCTCAGAAGCAGAAACAATCTAGATTGAATAGGCAACCTTTTTTTCTTTTTGCTATGAACATAGTGATAAAAGAATAAATGAAGCTGGGTGTGGTGGCACGTGCTTGTAATCTTAGCTCTTAGGCAAAAAGATAATGGTTTTCATGCTAACCTAAACTACAGAGATTGTGTCTCAAAAATCTCCTTGTACACACACAAACACACACACTCATACATGGGGGAGGGAATGAGGTAAGTATTTTAGGAAAGGTGAGGAGGAGATAGACCACACACACAGAACAGGAAGCATGACCTTGAGTCAGGCTGTGACTATGTAGAGTCCAGGCTGTGGAGGCATTAGGGCAGGAGTGCTCTGGTCCCTCGGGGCTTTGTTATATTGTAAAGGCTGCTGTCAGGACCGGTGAGTATGTTAGCGTGCTCTAAGTAGTATTTTCAGACACTTGAAAGGGCAACACCATCACTCCAAGGGAGTCATAAGGACCTTACAAACTTATACAATTATTTTCTCTTTATTGTCTTCATCTTTTTTTTCTTTCTCAGGTTGGAGGAAATTTGCATTGCATCATAGCATTCCAGAGACTCAGCTGGCAAAGATTTGGTTTTTGGAACTTTCCATTTGGAACTATTACACAAGATTCACAACCTCCCCAGGGAATGGCCAAATCTGAGAGTGAGGACAACATCTCTAAGAAGCAGCATGGGCGTCTGGGCAGGTCCTTCAGTGCTAGTTTCCACCAGGACTCGGCATGGAAGAAGATGTCTAGCATCCATGAGAGAAGGAACAGTGGCTACCACAGCTACAGTGATTACAATGGCAATGACTGAGCGTGTGGAAACTGAAGCACCGGTGTCTCCCACACAGCTGTTATGTTCAGGAGTGCATTAAGACTTCAGATGGTTTCTTAAAGTCTATCAATAGGAACAGATCTTGTGGTACAAAACATAACCTGTAGTTCTCTAGTAAATAAGCATACATATGATTACAATGGGTGGCTTCAAATAGGCAGGTAAAAAAAAGATTACTGCTCTTTTAAAATTAAAAGCAGATAAGCAATCTGGACAAAGGGTTTTTAAAAATCCGATAAAATCATAACTGCTTCAAAGCAAAACCACAAATGCACTTAACAGAATTAAAACTTGAACTATTTAAGCATGAAGTGATTTATTAAAACTTGATCCCTAGCTATTAATTACAGATACTTTGATTCCTAAGACCAATTTGCAAGGCACCATCACCTGCCCTTAACAAAATGGGGGCTGTCAAGTTGCAGTCTTTACTCATGGTTAAAGCTCATTTAAAATTATCTTGCTAGGCTAGTTGTTCTTTCAGTGGTGGCAGTATCCACCTCACCTCCGGGCTTTCCTGAATAACTGTCTCAGGATTCTTGACAGAGAAGCAGAAAAGTACTCAAGAAACTGACCTTTTCTACAGGTCCAGGTGGGGCATTGATTCTGATACTCTTGATTTGGCACAAGAATAGGCCCTGAACAATGTCTGAAGGTCTAGAACACCTTGTTTTAGGCATGCAGTTACAGAGCGTTTGGAATCTAGAGTTTCTATATCCATGGTAATATGTGCAGTGAGATCTGATACTTTATTGGTCTCTTACTGGAGTCACGTGTTAAACAGTGCTGAAGACATGTTGGCGATATTCAGCTCACTCTGAGGACAACTCTCTATTCTCAATTCTGAGTTGTTTCTTTTTGTGAAACATCCAGTTGTTTGAAGTGTGTGTTAAATATTTCAGATGTGTGAACTCAATACTCGAGCTCCTCCTTAGCTGCTGTTGTTTCTCTTTTGCTGCAATGTGTGACTTCCGTTGTTCTTTCATGTAACAGGCTCATTCCAAGATTCAAGTCAGTAACTTGGTGATTACAAGGTGCTGAGTATGTTAGAACCATATTGCAATACACCTCATAGGGAGGTTTCAGATTTTTATTTTTAAAACATTTTCATTTTGTCTCTTGAATTTTATATACATTTATCCACTCATACATGCTTAGCGTACAGAAAGGGCTTTATATTACAAAATGGTCCTATTTCTGAAGAGATTATTTAGCTTGAAATGCAAAAGACTGAAAGTTTGTAGGTTGTTGATTTTGTTATTTCATACTGGAACTTTTAAAATGTTTTCATCAAATAAAGTTTTTTTTTTTTTTTACTTGTGAATATTAATGTCTGTTTTGTAGTTAGGGTGTATCCTTGGAACTGTGTGAAGCATATGATAATTTGGCATTTCCGTGTAACTAGTGTTACAAGAAACATGTTACAATTTTTATAATCAATGAAACAATGTGAAAGGCTGATGACTTATACTTCATGCTTGCTATTTTCCAAATACTTGGGTACTGATTCTCTAGTACTTCATAACATGATACGGAAAAATTTTCATATTAGGTTGAACCAAATGAGGTTGCAATTTTTGTGGATCAAGTGTGTTTTTAATGTAAGCTGGTTTTTAATAGTTCAATTGAATATTTCAATGAAATAAGTTTGAAGAGCTAAGAGGAAAGAATACAAATGCAAAATAAAATAGAAACCTTAACAAAATGACAGCTGAGGAAACACGAGTTTATTTCCTACATACTAGTTATGTGCTCTATAAAAGCAGACTGATGTGTGAGCACTTAAAACTTCAGCTTACAAATTTAAGTTATTGTTTGAATTCAGTGGGAGGTTTTTATCTTTTTGGGGGGTTAAGTAGGTAAGAGATTCTGAATACTTATTTTTGAAAACTAGTAATATTCCTGTCCTATTTGCTAGTCAACCCTTTTTCTAATGAATGATAACTGATTGGCTCTGAAATTACTAGTTGTTTCACCTGTGAGATTATGTGGTTTGAAGGAAAAGATATACTAATGAATATAGTATTTAGAATAGTGGTTGGAGGGCAGGAAAGCAATTTAAATCTTGCTATAATAATTATTTTAAAAAATGTGCTTTTAATTGATTAGTGAATAGAGACTGTTAAATTGAAAAGAGCAAATGTATGTCAAATATACACTCCTTGGTTTCTTTTCTTTCAAGAGCATTTCATATTCAAAACATACTGTTCTGGTTTAAAAGCATGCCTAATACTTAAATGGGCACACTATTTGTTTTTATCCAGCACTCAGGAATTTAAAAAAAATCCTGTAACACTTCTTTTCCTCACCATTATACCAGTTACAAGGCCAGAAACCATCTTGTCACACTGTCATAGTAACTGTCATGTTTCCCAAGTTGCTTTGTTTCAGACATGGGATGAGCAGAGTTAACTGCTCCAGGATTATGACATTATTTAACTCCCTTTCACTCTTTGCATTTCTTCTCTGCCAATCTTTCACTTAAGAATAAAAACAAAGCAAAACCCCAATCTTAAATCCCATCACTTAATAGATGTTTTCATGTGAAAACTCAGCGCAGCCCTCAGAAGTTGGTGGTACTAACAGGTGCCAGCTAAACCTGACACTTTCACTGGTGAAGCTTCTTGCCTAGGGTTATAGAGAATAATGGTTTGCTAGAACTTTCATAAGAAAATACTGGATTGCTTAAAAACAAGTGGGTTTTCTTTTTCCTCACAATTCTGTAGACCAAGACAAGGTCTTGGCAAGTTTGGTTTCTTGTCTCTTAGACTTGTGGATGATCACCCCTTTTGTCCTCCCATGGCCTTTCCCTTATTTGTGGGCACCCTTGGAGTTTGTGTTCCAACTTCCTCTTCTTATAAGGATGGCACTTATATTAGTTAGTGGCGACAGTCTTTGTGTACATCTACGAAGAGATAGGAATCAAATCCATAAAAACATGTCTGCATGTTTGTGATCTATCACTGATCATGATTGTTAGACACAAAAATGGTTTTGCTAAGTGGTCCCTACTGGCCTTATTGTTATAAGAATCACTTTCTAAACATCACTTTGAACACAGGGACATTCTAACATATTTGGAAATATGTGTTCAACATGTGAATTTTGAATTCAACATGAATTCTCACCTGAATACATAGTAATTCCATGGTCCAGATACGATCTGAACTAACATCTGCTTAACCTGTAATCCAAATATTTTCCACAGGATGTAAAATGGCCTGGAGAGCTTCAAACAGGAGACTTGAGGGGCCATTTAAGCAATATTTATGAACTTCTGTTGTGTGTTACAAGTAAGGATGTGACAGTCATCAAGATTGAAATTGATTTCAACAAATTTATAGTCTACTATTGGAAGTGATAAAAAATAAACAGGCAATTGTATTGCCCTCGGTAAAATACAACTGTACTAGAATGAAAAATTCGTAATATTACACCTTGAGGAAACGCTAAAAGCACTTTGTGAAACTTATGGCCTTTGGAAAATAAGCTAAGATTAATACAGGTTAACATGTCTACTATAAGCCATCTGTGTGGACACATACGTTTTTGCCAAAACTTCATTTCTGATAGACTTCCGCTGCAAACGATTCTTTTAAAAAATTATCTAATTCTAGTCCTCCCCCACTTTTTTTTTTTCTCAGACAAGGCCATGTGGTCCTTGAATTTGTGCCATCCCTGTCTCCCAATGTTTATGACAAGTCAGGATATCTTATTTCGTATCAGTACCTTTTCACTGGGTCTGAATGTAATTCCGATACTGTACATCAAATCGGAACAACTGTATGCTAAGTGCTTTGCACACAAACTCTGCTCAGTAAAAGATTTTACAGGTGACGACCAGAAATTCTGAAGACACGTGATCTCCGCAGAGTTAACTAACCACCATAGTGAAGTTTCGGGTTGGTTTTGATTTAGCAAGAGGGTACCGGGCCTTTTCTGGGCCTACATTGCCAAAAGTCCTTTCTCACCACGGCGGTGGAATTCCAAGTTTCAGATGCTGGAGGAAATTCGCGACTAAGCACTGCGTTGTGCCGCCACCTAGTTACTGAACGGTGTCTTGCAAATATTCACCTTTCTGTTCTTTTCTCGTCTCACCCAAAACCTGGCCTCAAATCTACAAAGCTGGAGGGACAACGGGGAAGCTGATATTCAAAATACACAACGGGGACTTCACTCCACTAAGAAAGCCAACGTGCAAATGCCTTTCATGCCTAACAGCCAGCCGAAGAGAGACACTAAAAGAAAACTGGGTCGCAACCCCGCACTGACTTCCGGAGTGTTCCGGCGCGGAATTTATACGTCAAGCGTCAACGCGAGACTCCCAAACTACGCGTTCACCTCGACGGAGGCCGAGAGGTTTCAGTCCCCGCGGGAGACATCAATCGCAGGAGGGAGGCTTAGGGATACATCCCCTCCCACCGCCGCCACGTCCAGGTCGCGCCTTTCTTCCGGGAGGCCAGGCCCGCTCCGGAAGTGCTTCCGCCTGTTTTCTTTTCACGCCCCCGCGGACCCGGATGCCGGGTGGAGCGCGGTGGGCTCTGCGTGAGTGGAAGCCACCGCCGTGCCAGGCCCGCGCGGTGCGCCTGCGCCATGGGGGTCCACGGGCTGTGGCGGCTGCTGGAGTGCGCCGGCCGCCGGGTCAGCCCGGAGGCGCTGGAGGGCAAGGTTCTGGCCGTGGGTATCCTTCACGCCGCGCCGCGCCGCGCCGCGGGACGAGCGTCTGCCCGTGACTGGGCGTCGTGGCGGAACCGTGCCGGGCGCCCCCCCGGGGGCCGCCTGTCCGGCTCGCGTAGGGCCACCCTCCGTCCCCCGGGTTTGGTTCTCCCCGCAGGTTGGCTCCGCAGTTGGCGAGGACAGTGAGGAGACGTACGTGATAACCCACGGAATGGCGCCTTGCTCTGTAGTACTGTGGGTCTGGGAGGTTATTCTGTGTGGGCGGCTCAGCGTGGGGAGAACAGGGTAGAGAGTTCCCGACCCCCCACCCCGGTCCTTCTTGAATAGTTAACTCTTTGCTGGAATAAACAGTTCATGCGGTGGCAGAGTGGGTTCGTTTCCTTTGCGGCTTCTGTGGTGGTTGTGTGAGTGCTTAACTTTCTGCCTCCGGAGTTTTGTTTGGTTTTCAATTTTGAAAATGTGACATTAGTTTTGAAATTTGTTATGTTCGTTTGTTCCACGACACACCCACTTCCACTCCCCCCTCCACCCCGCTTTTTCCCTTTTACAATGATTCTTTTAGCTCAGAAGCTGGAGGTACCTTTACACCGTTTTTCTAATGAGAACTAGAGAAACTTGTAAATAATTGTTGAAGGTGCGCGCGCGCATTCTGTAATGTACAGTAAAGAGGCCACTGATGAATCAGTTTTTAACTGTGCCCAGCTTGTAATTAAAGGAGAACTTGTTCTTTTGGAAGAATCACGTTTTATGTCAAATACGCTGATGGCAAAATTTAAGAACTTGTCCTAACAAGTTTTTACACTGGGTTCAGTAAGTTGCGTAACCTGAAGAGCTTTGTAAACCCACCCTAGTGGTTTTCCGTTGTCATTGCAGTTTAAGGATTCCTGAATTAATAGTAAATGAAAGTACACATTTGCGTGAGGGAATTCTTGCATTCTTATCAAATGGTTTCAGCATGGTACAGGCAGAGCTCTTTTTTAGGGTGTATTAGACCCCGGAGTTCCAGCCCCATCTTTGAGAAAAAGTAGTGCTGATGACACCATCAAGAATTTAAGTTATTTTCTCTTTCAGCCCCTAGAAAGGCTTAGGTTAAGCAGTTCAACATTCAGGGATGTGAGCGGGAGAGTAGGGGGAGGGAGTAAGCCATGTAGATTATCTGCATGTCAAATAGAAGTGTCACTTAGGGTATGAAGTTATTTTTAGGAGGTTATTAAGCTTTTCTGAAGTAATGGGCCATTTAACTAAACAATTGTTAAGGAGTCTGTATACAATCACATATGCATAATGTAATAATCCGATTACCCTGTAATTTAATTTTCTATATTTCATCATGAGAATTCTGAGATCTAAAATGTAGATGTTATTTTTCTGTTTGCTAATAAAGAACTTATCTACGATTATCTCAGGTTTCTTAATTTACATCCTTTTCCAAATAAACTTTGGATTTTAGACCATGTGGATAGCTGAGTGTTTTACTTAAACAGTTTATGTTTGTGTCAAAAAATTAAGAAATAGCAGTTTAGGTTTTTTCATTACAGACCTTAACATAAGTTAATGTATTACCAATATTAGGGAGATAATACCCTCACTGAAACCATACCAGTATGGATTAACCTAGTCTTCAGTCAGCTGCCTCCTG